AAAATATAGTGTTTTACCGTGGCATGTTGAAATTACAGTATTATTCATTATTATTCAGGAATCAGTTAAACTGTGCAATTATTTCAACTGTTATATATGCTTTTATGATTTTTATGTGCTTGTTCTCAAACAGGCAGAGGCAGATAGGTAGATAGATATTCTGAGAGAAATTTTGTAGTAACACTGCATTGAAAAATGCTTATTTTTTACATGGTTTTATATTCATTTTTACATGTATTTATGTTTTATCTAAACTATATATAATAGAAGTGATGACTAGTTTTAACTTCCAAGTTTGTAAACACAAAAATATATTAAAATAGTATAAAAACAATAAAAGGCCAGTCATATATATTGTACAAGAGCCATTTGAAGTAGAATTTAGTTTGTTGGCAGAAATGTAGCATATTTATGATAATACATAAACATACTTATTAACAAAAAAAGTGAATAATATTGATGATAATAGTAATACCTTTACTAATTTACACGATCAAAAATATATTTTATTGTTCAAATTACTTAATTAAAATGAGCTGAAACAACACAATTCTTGATATTTCATTGGGACAACTTAATTTTTTATGTTCAATCCACATTAATTTGTTAATAGTGTTAACAAGTTAATTTGTGTTGGGAAAACATCAATGAATTGTGTGGAACCCTGGATTTTTTACAGTGCATGATAGGGCTGCACGGTGGTGCAGTGGGTAGCACTGTCACCTCACAGCAAGAAGGTCCCTGGTTCGAGCTTCGACTGGGTCAGTTGGCATTTCTGCGTGGAGTTTGTATGATCTGCCTGTGTTAGCGTGGGTTTTCTTCGGGTGCTCCGGTTTCCCCCACAAGATATGCGTTATGCTCTCAAAAATGGATCATGGCTTTAGTTGGTTCAAAAAATGTAACTATGTTTAAATTAAACAATTCACTTATGTTTGTCTATTAAAACCAAAAGAGTTGTGTTGGAAAAAATAGAAAAAGTATGTTTTCAATTTTAATGAAATGGAGTTGTGTTGTTTCTGCAGTACCACACTTTGGTCAACAGGTTAGTTGTTGTTTCAAAACAACAGAGGAAGTAAGATTTAAACCACAACAATCGCTCTCATTATATGGGAATCAAAAGAGGAAGATTACAGTGAAAATTTAGAAAAATGCTGTGCAATATGTTCAATGCACTGAAAAAATATGGGTGATTTTAACAGTAAAAGTCTGTACAGTCCACAGTGAAAATCTGTTCAATAATTAGCAATAATCGCCATACACCCTCATTCACTACTCCCTAAATTAGTCGATTAGTTTATTCCACTAGACAGAGTGAATGACCACAATGAGTGAATTCAGACAATGATGAACAGCTGCTGTAGACAAGCTCAATCACTGAAGGAAAGAACAAGACATAAACACGTACAGACACCGCCTCACACCAATCCAACTAAATTAAAACAGAGGATTAAACACCTCCATTAAATAACAGCATTATCAGCTTCACTGATTACAGTTTGAACACATTGCTGTCAAATCTGCTGGAATATTTGATAATTAACAGAGGTTTATACTTTTTTTTCTGTTGACCTCACCATCATGGAGATCAGAGGCTGCTTCAGTTGGGCTCTTGATCCTGCACTTTTCTACCTTAATGTTTCTCTGACTGTTATAGCAATGTCTGTAACTCATCAGATATAGCAAGGAAAGCAATGAGAAAATATTCTGTACTGAATTATTACACATATCATTTCTGGAATTTAATAAGTTAAAAATATATAAGATATAAAAAAAAGAATTGTGAATTTATATCAATGCTGTTTGGAACAATATTACAGGCTTTTCATTGAGGGTCAACTAATAAATAATATAGAAAATAAATATAAAAAATTTATAATTAAAATGTCTTGCACAAAACCTGGAGAGTTTCAACAATGCCTTCAGACACGTAGACATCAAGAATCAGGATTTGAACCTCAACCATGGTTGCTAAAAAAAAAAAAAAAAACCTGCATCATTCATGCTGCAATGCAAGCTGGGTGCCAGTATAGTACACAACTCCCAGCATGCATTGCAGCATAAATAAATTATGTAGCTTAAAATTATTACAATCGTTTTCTCTGCCTTTCGTTTATGTTGTTTTTTGGGTGTAATATTTCAGTAAAGAGTTTTGTATAGTTCTGGGTTGATTTTTATTAGATTTTATTTTTTGTTTGTCACCATTGTTGAGATTCAAAGACTAATTGTTGATGTCTGTGTGTTTCTAAGTGCTGCCATACAGCAAACATTCTTATTGTGAATGGTGTATTTAGAGCTGAAACACCAGTGGTTTCATTTACCCATATAGTTCATTTCTAACATAAAGCTAACAAATTATTCAACAAACACAGAAGCAGATGAGGGAAGTTTCAATACCTTAGTTAATCTTATCAAACTGATTCTTATATAGTTTTGGCTTTTCATGCTATGCAGCTAAAGGGAAGGACACAACTAATTATAGCAATCAAATATGAACTAGTGTTGAAATAAGCAGGTAAAGAGCCCAACTAAAGCAGATGCTGACCTACATCATGGTGACTTCAAAAGAACAACAGAAATGTCATGAAGACCTTTTGTCCACATGACAGAAATAAAGTCAGAGCTCAGTAATGAGTGAAGCTCCTGATGTTAGTGGAGTTGTTTAATGATCTCTGCTGAGATCTTCATTTTTATTGTGTAATTATTTTGATTATTATTATTTTATTTAGAGTTTTAATTTCAGTTGATTTCATCTTTAGTTTTGGCTGTAATTTGTGTTTTTCTTTCCTTCAGTGATTCTGCTGTTAACAGTTGTTCATCAATTCATCCTTTTATTAGACTCTAAATTATCTGATTAATTTTATCACTGCCTGAGTGTTTAACCCTCTGTAGTGAGGACACTAGTGAGGAGTTTGCTCTGGGATTTAAGGGGTTAAATGTGTTTGATGAAAAATACAGACTGTGGAATGTATTTGATGTATTTGTATATGGATTTACAAATTTACAGTAGATTACTGGCAACAGCTGTCGGCATTTTTCCGTAAATTTAACAGATTTTTTTAACAGTGTAAATAAATTAAAGCTAAATTATAAATTTTGTGTTGATTGAACTAAACAACATTACCTTTATATAACTAACTTAAGTTCACTCAAATAAATATTCTTTCTTTAAGGTAACTTAACTCGGTTACGTGGAACCTGTTGACATAAAAAAGTTAACAAGAGCCAACATATCATTTTTTGAGTGCACTATTGAGGAGGATAGTAGCGTCTGTGTTCAAGTCCAATATAAGGATAGCTGATGTTGTGCTGCATCTTATTTTGTTTGAAAGTAACTGTGGTTACTAATGAATTGAAAATCTGTTTGCTAAGTGTACATACATGAACACATTGCATTGAATGACTTTACGTTTTTGAGAGCTAAGCTAAGTTTTTGTTAACTGGGCATTGTATCAGTTGATGAAATGCAGTTATTTTCTGTAAATTTAAACAGACCTATAAAACTTCCGTATTTTTACACAAAACTCTTGGCAATCACTGCTGGTATTTTTCCGTAAATTTAACGAATCTTTTAACATTGTAAATAAAGTAAAGCAAAATTATTAATGTTGTGTTGATTGAATTAAACAACATCCCATTACCTTTACGTAACTAACTTAATTCACTCAAATAAGTATTCTTTTTTTAAGGTAACTTAACTCGGTTACGTGGAACCTGTTGACATAAAAAAGTTATTTAAAGCCAACATATCATTTTTTTGAGTGTAGGTGAATTGAGTAGGCTGGGTAATTGTAGTGTATGTGTATGAATAAAAGAGTATTGGTGTTTCCCAGTATGGGTTGCAGCTGGAAGGGCATCCGCTTTGTAAAACATATGTTGGACAAGTTGGCAGTTAATTTTGCTGTGGTGACCCCAGATTAATAAAGGGACTAAGCCGAAAAGAAAAATAAATGATTGAATGAATTAATGATTCAAATTATTTCTATTAATTATTTAATAGCGTTGGTATATTTATTTGAATAATTTCATTAAATTATTATAATAATAAAAACAAGAGCAACAACAACAATATAATGACTACTGTTATAATGAAAATATTAAGTACTTGGCAATTTTATAGCATTATATGGGGTTTCCATAGTTTTTTATAGCAACAATAATAATAATATTATAACAACAACCCGATAATGATCATGATGATGATGATACATTACAAAATTACTTAATTATTATCTAAATCATAAAGAGCTTTATTGTATGTACAATTAAAGAGCTTTAATTCCATGTATGTGTACACATACGAGGAATTTGTTTTCATGACCAAAGCTTCCAAAGTAAAGCAGAATGTCAGTGACAGCATAAAAACACAGCTAATAAAGGAATTTTATAAAAAAGAAAATAGAAAATACACTGTAAAAAATGCAGGGTTCCACATGAATAATTTGTGTTTACCTAACACAAATCGATTAAGTTAACGTTTTTAGCAAATTTATGTGCATTAAACATAAAAAGTTGTCCCAATGAAATATTAAGAATTGTGTTGTTTCAGCTCATTTTAATTAAGTAGTTTGAACTTGCAAAAAAATATTTTTGATATTTATTATTTTATTTATATTTATTTTCTTATTCTTATTCTTATTCTTCTTATTATTCTTATTCTTATTATTATTATTATTATTATGTGTAAAAAAACATTTGCAATTGTTAAATTTATGTTTATAAATGCTGGTCCTGTTCAGCTATTTTATTTTAAAACCCAGCCGCTCTCATGCGACCTGATTAACCAGTAGAGGGCAGCGCCATAACAAAGACTGAGGCCAATGATGCGTACAGAAGCGCTTACAAACTGAGCTTTGTCTCTCACTTATTCGCCAGATTACATCCGAGAGGCCAGATTGAGAGGGAAGGCCTTACAAAATTCATTTGCATTGCGGGAAGACGCAGAAAACCAAGCCGTGATGAGGTGATAAAGCCAAGAATATGAAGCCATACAGCAGCAAAGACTTGGCGGAGCTGAAGACGTGCGTTAAGAGTGATGGAGGTACAAGATCTCTGGATCCCCTATAAAAACCCCTAAGATTTCTCCCGTTGGGCCAGACATATATGTAGGATTCCCGCGATATTAATAACAATAACAAACTCAGCCATTTGCAGAACAGGGAATGAGAGGAGGATTTGATGCACGCGTGAAAATCGGATGCCGCACCGCCGCGCGATGGAAATAACAGGATAACGGGATCCAAGCGGCTTTTTTCTACTGATGGAAGCGGCACCAAAATAAACGGGCCAGTTGCGAGCACGTGTTTTTTTTTTTTTTTTTTTTTTTTGACTAACAGTTAGTCGGTTTGTGGCTTTTTTTCTTGCAATACATCGGCGGGATGGTGTCTTTGAGATGCCACAGGAGCAAGTATATTTGGGCCACTCTGGGGGTGCTGGCGTTGTTGTGGCTGTACATCTTCCCCGTATACAGGATACCCAGCGACAAGGAAATGGTGGAGGAGGTTCTGCGGCAAGGACAGACATGGAGCAGGAACCAGACCGCGGTGGAACTGTACAGGTATTTTAGTGCGCAGGCATTTTATCCAGGTGCATATTTCATCAGCGCTTGCTTTCTTATACTGTCGAAGCCATAACAACCTTGGTATTTTCTACTGTTTGAGTTTTTAAAAATCACGTTCATTCATTCGTGTATTTAATCACTGATGACCCTGTGACGTGGTAACAAATAGTAGTTCATTATATCCATTTGTAATGAGTAAACTGTAATAAGCAATAACATAATCTCGCCCTCGCCAGTGTTGCAGAGTACAGACATCTCCTAAAACCGATTAATGAAACACGCATGCGCGCAGGATTGTTTGAAACGCTATCTGGCCCCGCTCTGAACTCCAGAATGGCTGTTTGTGCCATAATGGTGATGGTTCTACAAAGTGAGCTAAATTATATTATTCGAATAGAACGAAGCGATTTAATTGTAAACACATTCAATCACTTACTTCCAGCTACTTTAACGCAAAGTAATACGATTGTAACGACACGGTGGAAAAGATTATAGGCCTATTAAAATGCTAGGTTTATGTTATATTACGAATACGTAATGTAGTATTTGCTGTGACCACGACTGCTTTCTGGCATGTATTACCTAATATACACTGAAAACCCTTATAAGTTGACTGAACTAAATTGAGTAAACTCGTTTCCTTAATTTAATTAAGTAATTGAGTCTCCCAAAACTTGCATATTTAAGTTTAATTAACTTGCCAGTTTTGTGTACTATACTTTCATAGCCATTTATTAATTAAATTTTTTTTATTATGTTGAAAAATTATACCTGAAGCCATTTGTTTTCTGATGTTGATTTTTAGTCACAATGTTATTCTAACCAATTGTCAATTTCAGGAAGAAAAAACTTTTTTATTTGAAACTTGCACCTTGCATTGAATAAAAATGTTCTTGTTTTCGCAGTCCTTATCTTTTCGAATTATCTCATTGCTCATGCGTTTTTTCTTCTTTTTTCTTTTTTTTTTTGCCAGGAAGCTGCTGACAGATTGCTGTAACCCAAAGAGGATGTTTGCGGTTACTAAGGAGAATTCGCCATTAGGCAAAGTCTTGTGGTATGATGGTGAATTCTACCACTATCACACAGTCACCAATGAGACCTACCCCATCTTTGTACAGGTACAGCCTTTCATAGGAGTCAGAATAAGTTCTGAAGCCAAATTCAATTAACTTTTTGTGCCTGTTTGTACCTTTTTAAAAGGTACACACTATGTACTTAAAGGGTCTATATTGGTACCTCAAAAGTACATATTGGTACCTACAAATTTTAAGAGGAACACTTTTGTACTTTTTAGGTACTAATATGTACCCTTGAGGTATTAATATGGACCTTTTAGGCACAAATGTGTACCCTTCGTAAAGGTACCACACAGTGACAGCTTACAAACCTTTATTTACGAGAGTGTAAAATATACAGAATATACAGTACTGTCTTTAATGCCACTAATATTTAGCTGTGTCAGTAGGAAGTTTACATATTCCAACCTTTTTTTTTCATTAATTATAATAATCCATTGCATTTTTGTAAACACAAGGACATTCTTTGAACAGCCAGAACTCCCTTAGTAAACTCCTTTGGTCTTTTAGTGATGGTGATCTGATATCGTTATCACTAAAAATTGAAATGCTGATTGTTTATATAAAATAGTTAAAGTCCTATGTAGGTTTTTACACTAACCTGAATTCACACAGGTAAATATATATTAAGTTGTTTGCAGGAAAAAAATGGAATAAATAAAATAAATAAGAGTGTGGAAGTGTAAAGTGAAGCAGTTGGTCCTGTTTTTTTTCTTCTCTTTTTTCCGCCCCCACTCTCCATGAGGCTTAGCACAGCACAGTTTTCTAAAAATAAACAGGCATGGGAGAGACACCCGCATGGGTCCTGATTGTCCTGTACTGGGCACCATGCCGCCTTTCAGTCGCAGTGTTCCTCCTACACTGTCTCGTTACCCACGCTTATTGCTGGTGGACACACAGACGTGCAACTAAGCGTCTCTACACACTCCCACCTCACTCATTTGATTGTCGACTAAGAACTAAATGCTCACAGATTTATTATATAAGCCACATCATTGATTGGTATAGAAGCTGTAGGAGGAGTTAAACAGGCAGTCATGTAGTAGTAAGTGTTGACCTTCAGTGGAGACAGAGTTTAAACACTATTGCGTAATAAAGTGCCATATTCCACAATCTGTGCTTTTACCTCAAAAAAGATTTTTTTGCTAAATGACTGCTAAATGACTAAATGTAAATGTAAATTTTGGTAACACTTTAGAGTTATGGTCCTTTAGTTATGTATTTAAAGTATGAATAATCGTGTAAAGCATTTATTAATCATACTTTAACATTAATGAAGAAGAAGAAAAATAATCTGTTTTATTGCCAAGTGTGCTTCACACACACAAGGAATTTGTTTTGGCTACAGAAGCTTTCAGTGCACATAAAGTCACAAGTGACACCACAAAATAAATATGAAAAAAAGCTGATAAACATTTAACAGAGATGCAGTTAATCAAAAAGATCTAGATGTTGAACTGTATGTACATATTTGTTATAAATATACATTGTTATTAACTAATGCATTATTAATGCTCACAGTTAATGCACTGGGAGTTAACATGAACTAACAGTGTTTAACTTTAACATTAAAGTTAATGAAGATGAATAAACACAGTAATAAATGTTTTACTTATTTGTTTATGTTCAATACACAAACTAACTAATGCACCATTATTTGAAATTGTTACCAAAATCTCACCGGTATCTACGGGGTCTTAAAAAGTTTTAAAATGTCTTTTAGGCCTTATAAAGACTGAAATATTGTCTCGTAGGTCTAAAATCATTTTAAATGGATCTTAGTGTTCTTTGTTATGTAAAGCTACCCAATCGATCCACCACATATATATATATATATATATAATATGCATGTATATAACTAGGGTTGACACATTATTTAAAATATGTGGCTAAGAAATAACTAATTAGAATTATTTTTATTTATTTATTTTTTGATAGGGCAAGTACATTTTTTTTTTGCTTCTGGTCCATTAAAAATCTTTAGCATTTAGCCCTATGTAAGTCTAAAATGTAATTCTTCATGGTCTTAAAAAGTCTTAAATTTGACTGTGAAACCAGCAGAAACCCTGTTTCAGAACTCAAAACTTTCTTGTTGTCTTGTTATAGTAGAATAACCTCTTTTATTTCTAAAGGTTAAATACATTTGTAGTTTCTCAGTTCATGACCCCTTTAACCCTTAAAGACCTAGAGGTATTTTGTGGGCACCTAATGGGCCTATATTATTATTTTTTTTAAAAGCAGTTTTATTTTTATTTTAGCAGTCAGCCTCAAGTGTCATATATCATTTTAAACAGGAGAACCTGAAGTTTCAATCTATATCATTTAAAGGTCCAGTCTAAAATATTTTTTGGTCCAAAAACATATGAACAGACAGAAAATATTCCAGAATTTTCCAGAAACGATTTTTAAAAAAAGTGGCATTTTCTAGTTATTTCAAACAAAACCTTATGAAGTTTGTTTTTCTTTCTTTAGAAATACATGCTATGATGTTTTATACTTCCAAAATAAATTTTGTCTACATCCACAATTCCCTGAGCAAGTTATAGCAATTTATTTCAATGTTATTCCAAGGCGTTTTTCTATGGGAGAAAAAAATGCATTTATTTACTGACAATGTATTTTCCCCAAAAGTTCTGGGAATGAACTAAACAGAAAAAAAAATGTTACAAAATAATAGAACAGTGAAGCAAATTTGACTTTTTCCAAATAATATATTTTCAGTTACTATAAACAACACCCCTTACAATGAACAAATAAAAAAAAATTAAGAAAATAATAAATAATGTGTCAAAGTCCAAATAAACATGGTGCAAATCCTCAGTAAAAAAAAATAGATATAAATATTTACTATACCATAAATAGTTACATAACTAAACTAGGTTCAATATGGAACATCCTTAGGTTTTATGTGCCAGCATGGATATGGTTGTCTGTGAATATGGATTTGGATATGGTTGTCTGCAATGCAGACAAACAGCTGCACCTTCATTTGCGTCTTTTGAAAACAGCAAGAGCAGCAGTTCGTCTTTGCTGTATCACTGTTTTGTCATGTTTCTGTGCTGCTGTGGATGCAAAAGTACTTAGTATGAGAATTATTTCATGCAAAACATTTTTTTTTTTTGCGTTTTATTTAGCCGCGCATAAATGTATGCCTCATGTATCTCTCATTCCGTGTTGTTCAAAAAGCTTGTTGGTCCACAAACAAAAGTGAAACCTATGCTTATTGGTTGTCATATAGCGAGTTTGAACCAATCTGGGCATGGAGGAGGGACAATGCATCAATGTATGATGTCTGGTTTGTCCGGAGACACAGTGACGAGCGTTTCTTAGTCAAATCAGCGTTGTCAAATTTTGATGACGTAACCGCACTGATCCCGGAGCCTCTGAAAGTCCGCGAATGTTATGTGATACAGCACTGGAAAGCTGAGATTCTCTTCTTTATGCCAATCTTTGAATTGTATGAATCGGATCAGCGGATCAAAAGTTATTAAACATTTAAGAGCAATACTTATTTTTAGCCGCGGGCGGCTGTCTCGGTCTTTAAGGGTTAAAAAGATCTACATTTAGACATATTATCAAGGACAATCATACTGAATTCCATCATTTATGTTCAGACGGACACGCATGTGGCATACTGACTGTAATTGATTTTGATAGTCATAATTTCTTTGCAGAAATCCCTGTTATGCTTTTTTTGTTGTTGGTGCTGATTTTTTCATGGCTACCAGATGTTATTAGATGCAATCCCACTTTGACGGACGTAAGCATAAGCAACAGTAACTGTTTTTCAAACTAGGTGCCAGACATATGAATGAAACTGTAGGTTTAGAAAAGCCACATAGAATGGGGGAAGAATATAGGTTACACTATGTTATAATATTCCTTGTGACTGCGTAACTAAAACCAGGTGTATGACAACAGCTGCAGCTATAAGGTATATGCAGAAGAATGCAAAAGGACTTTTCATTTATCAGTAACCTAGGTCAAGCTATTCCAGAGAAATGTATGCAGTTACAAAAGCGAAAAGTTTAAGGTCTGTTTTTTTTTTTATCACAGACCTCCACTGCCTGATTTATATACAATATAAAGTGGGTCTCAGAATATGCAAGAAGCACTACATTAAATTAAATTTTTCCATCTTTATGTCTTTAAAATTTGAAAATTTATTTTACCCCAATATTTTTAATGGAGTTTCTGCACTAGCCTGCTGATCCTGATGGTCTTTCATCTCGTTTTACACTTGATCAACTGATTTGACTGATTTTACACTTAATTTAACTGATTGTATTTTAATTATATAAGACATCAATGCTTTATAAGCAACCGTATAAAATTGAAAAAAAGTCACAATAACTGTTCCTTGGAGGTTTATCAGTATGGGAAGAAACACTAGCTGTGCATATACCACATTATTTAGTTTATCAACTCTAAAGACAGTGTTGTAACAGAGAAATTCCAAACTTGTTAATCTTTAACCTTACAATCTTTTTTTGCAAGTTTTATATATTTAACTGCTGTTTTTATATAGACCATTTCAATGTGGTTATGTCATGAACAATTCCTGCATGTTATTAAACTATTTCATAACTGTAACAAGAGGCAGTTCAACCAAAACTTAATGTTAAAATAGCTATCATAACATTATCATTACGTGGTTCTTTTTGTATTCTCAGAAGCTATAGAAATAAAAATGTAAATCAGAAAATACTTTGGGACCATTGTTTTTGTTTACATCCTTCAAAATGGTTTATAAAAGAAGGGTAAAAGGAAATATACACATGGCTATACATGCTCTTGGCTTGTAACTATGCCGAAAACTCAAGAAATAAACTCATATAAATCAGGTCACCCTAGTAATGGTGTATCAACACCCTGTTTGAATACTTGTCTTGTTTTGTAGGAAACCAAGGAAAATACTCAACTAAAGCAAAAGAAGAATGTCTGATAGTAAGAATTTAATTATATATAGATGAAAATGGGGGCAAGTGATTCAATTAGATCACTAAGGAGTGAGAAAAAGGGTGTTTTAATCTGTTTGTTTTTTTTCTCAGAGGTTCACCACTCTGAATCACCTGAATATCAAAGCAACCTTGATTTGAATATCTATTCAACAAAAGAAACAAATGGAAATTTACTGTTTGTTCAATGTCATACCCACTTGTGTAAAACCCACTGTTTTGTGTTGCTAGGATACACCATTGCAGCTTCCTCTAAAGAGGTGTTCTGTTGTGGGTAATGGAGGGGTGCTGAAACATAGTGGCTGTGGAAATGAAATTGACCGAGCTGACTTTATCATGAGGTGAGATTTTTTTTTCATGTTAATGAATTCAATTGTTCAGTAAAGGGCTGGTCAGTTAGGATTACAGGGATCTTTATATGAGCTCTGTGTGATTTTTCTCTTTTCAGGCAGATATTTCTGATATGCAAGAAGAAATAGAAGCTGGGATTTTTGGGGTTCTCAGGTTAGATGTGGGCCAGGGATGGGCAACTGTGGGTAAACGCTGAAGGGCCACTGTCTTGCTAAGTTCAGCTCCATTGTTAATCAAACACTCCTAATATATAGCCTTTGTCTTTAGGATTGATTGATTTGAGATGGAAAAATGTCTCAATTACAGTGACCTCCTTGAACCAGTGTTGACTACGTCATATCATCTTCCTCTGTGCCCTTTTGATTAAGCCTTAGACTCAAGTGTACTTTTTCAGTTTTTGCAGCTTTCGAATTACACTCACTTGCAGATAATGAAAATTGAAACACAAGGACAACGTTCAGCAAGGCTTTTAGGCAACCCAAGCTCATTCTGGAAACGTAGGCCCGCGGACGTTTCTGGAGACCGCTATTTACGTGGCCGGAGGTACGTAAGGCCGCGTTTAGTTTTTTTCGAGCGAACACTGCGGGGCGGTGTGACGCCGCTCCACCCCTCCTCTTCCTCGCCTCCGTGTGGAGGGCTTTCCCGATGCAACCAGTTTGTCTGCTTACCTGACGTTACCTGCGTCGGCGGAGCGGAGGCCCCGGAGGAGGAGCCGGAGCCGGCCGCGGGGACAACGACTGGGATCGAGTCCGGGGAACAGCAGGTTCCGGAAATCAGGTAAGACGAAAAACGGAATCCGAAAAATAAAAGCGAGAACGCGGCGGGATCCGGAAACGCGGTCAAAATCGAAGACGAGGGCTTTTGCTTTTTTTTTTTTCTGAACGGCTTTTGCGACCCGTCGCTCGGGTTTAGGGAAGGAGGGGGAGGAGGAGGAACAGGAGGGCGGCCAAGTCGGCCGATCCGGCGGCTTTTCGCGCAAGAACGGCGCGCGCTCCCGAGAGGCACCCGAGACGCGAAAAAGCGCGCACAGCGGCCTCTCGCGGATCCGCGAAAACAAACACCGCTCGAATACGTACCTCCCGGGACATAAATCGTGGTCCGCAGAAACGTCCGCGGGGCTACGTTTCCACAATGAGCCCGGGTTGCATTTAGGGTGCTTTTACACCTAGACATTTGTTTCAGAACCTTGCATGTTTCTCCAGTTAGCACGATTCGTTTGGCATATGTGAATCCAGCAATCACGCTCAGATCTGTGCCAAAACAATCTGTTCGAGAACGCCTGAATGAGGTAGTCTCATCTCAAATGAAACTAACTCTGGAGCAGATCGATTGTAGTGAAAAAGCAAAAAGATCTGAACCAGGCTATATCACATTGTATTATAGATATGTATTAAGCATATATATCGCTATATAAAGAGAAAGTATATGAGTTGGGAGGGATGTCATTCCTACTGGTAAATGTGCATTTCATATCAAATACGAAAGTGAAAGCATGTTAACTATTAATGAGAGCTGTTTATACATCAGGAAAATTGACCGATCAGCAGTCTTGGTTTATCTGTTATCTGTATCAACATTCAAAATAAATGCACAGCTTTTAATGTCTTATTGCTCATCGTCATAAATTAAAATAAGAATGCATGACAGATGAACGGGACTTTGCAAAATAAACCATGAAACTCTGATCAATGTGACGAGAGAGTTTACTCGCACATGACTTGCTTTAGCTCTGTTGGTCCGTTTAGAAAATTTGCCATGTGAAAGCAAACCAGATCAAGAGCAAAGTGCAAAATTGTAACAATTTTAATACATGTTTCGGAAACATAAGAATCAATCCACAGGTGTGAAAGCACCCTCAGTGAAGATTTGCATGTCAAGAAAGGGAGGGCCTAGAACTGAAACTTGAGAAACCCCATGATAAACTCAAACAGCTCTTGTGTCCAGAAAATCCTGAAGAATCTGCCCAAGAAAAAAGACTGAAACCACAGAACAAGTCAGGGTGTATGGACATGATTATATGAGATTTGCATTGTTAAATGCATGAAGACAACAAGAACAGAACATCAGAAATTTAAACTTGTCAGCCATTAAGTCACTTGCAGCCAGCAGATGGTCTCAGTCAATTGTTTTATTGCCTGTATGATATTACTGACTAGATTTTGCTGTTACAGAAAAGCATAGTTCAGACTAAGGCTGTGCAATTAATCTAAATCAAATCACAATTGTGATTTAAAACGTTGCGATTAAGCTGAGATTTGAAAAATTTATTATTTAATTTCCCCCGCCCAGAGCAAACGCGTGCATGTTGTCTGTGTGACAGTCTTACTAGATAAATTAAGTGCACACACTTTTGTTCTGCGCAATCAGAATTGAGTAACCAAACTATGTGGAACATAGAAACACAAAAAAAACAAATAAACAGTAAGGAGCGGACGAGTGGGATGATGACGTCTGGTACTTCAGAAGCATTAATAGACGATTTAGTATTAAAGAAAAACATGACATCAGTAATATGGGAATATTTTGGTTTCAAAGTCACAAAAAATGTAAGTTTATTGTTTTGATAACTTAATGTGTATTTTGCATGCATTGACGGATCGCAGTCTGACAGACTGTAATGTAAAATATAGTTTATTATTTTATCTTCATTGGACAGTTATATATAGATGCATTAGTTCCAGAATTTTAAAGCAGTTTACCGATTTAAATGCTTCTTATTGGATATTATGTCATTCGATGTGACTATTGAATGTGAGCTTAGGACCTATTAACTACGGTTTGCTTTAAGAACATGTTAACAAATTTATTCACAAAATAGCTAGTAGTTACAAAGCCCCTAGTGTGGACTTTACCTTCCAGTTTAAGAAAAAACTTACAAAAAGCTGGTGCAAATGACTCATGTCAAAACACACTTCCTCTCTAAAGGTAGGTGCCTTTTAATGCAGTGACCAAAGAGGGTGTAAAAAAATTTATCTAAATGTAGGATAGGAGATATACACTTCCGTCTCACACCTATTTTTGCCTTTTTACCACAGTACTACAGCTGTACATTTAACGTCATGATATTTTATATTGCATCTTGGATAATTATTTTGTTTTAAAAAATACAAGCTACAGAAAGACTTTTATCAGCCATATTAGTTTGCTGAGTGTTCTGTATTTTTATAATTATTATAATTTTGTTTGTGTTATAAGCTACACTATGTGCCTAGTTGAGTTTAAATTGTTTACAGAAAGGTAAGGTCATTTTATTTGTGCTTACTGTTTGGTCTAGAAAAAAACAAGTAAGTTATTTATATCTTTTCAGTTCCCTATTTAACTCTCACTGCATTTTAGCAGTAAAAAGCTACGATACAAATTATTGCGCTAAAGCTTGACTACAAAATCAAATCGAAATCGAAAATTTTCTGTCAAAAAAATCACAGTTAGATATTTTCCTCAAATCGCACAGCCCTAGTTTACACTAAATGCCTAGGGAGGGACACAAAAACAAGGAGAGAGTCTGTAATATTTTTGACTGCTGTCGTCAAATAGTGTTGACTATTTTGTTTTGAGCAGTGGGGCAATCTGAGCCTACTTATTATGCAGGGAAAGTTGCAAGTCATGAGAGATGTGATGATGACAGGAGCGAGAGCACTGGAGTCTCATGAAGAAGAACAGAATAGATCTGGTCTAGGGGATGGGGGAAGGGAAAATAAGAATAGATGAATTCCTGCAGGCGGTGGCTGGTTGTGGGTGTGTGGTATAGAAAAATGGTCGCTGATTGATTCTGTGAGGTGTAATAGTGGTGAGACAGAGAGAAGGAAGAGGACAGGGATTTATAATTAAGTGGTAGAGCTAGGGGTATAACAGTTCATGCCTCTGTTTTGAAGTTGTGTTTTCTGGAACCAGTAGTAAAAAAGAATAAACAATAGTATTAATGCTTTTTCTGTTGTCGTTCTCTATACAAAGATCAGTCATGGCACATTGAAAAGTTCAAAACAGCATTTATTCATAGATAACTACATTAGATGTCGCCTGCACTATTGGTGTCTATTGGAAGGAATGCGTCAATAGAACAGCCGTTTTAGTACAGGGTAGCACTCCTTTAAAATGAATGTGGGACCAAGGTAGTGGAGAACTGACCATCCAGAGATAGAGATATGTAAGCATTTAAGCATACATGTTTGATCATTCACCCACCGCACAATGTTCTCCGAGTGCAAATACAGACGAGTGATCCGCTTGATGAATCAACTGATCTTAGTGGCTTTGAAACAATTCATTGTACGTACATTTGTGTTTGCAACCAGTGAAGAATTGTGAACTGATCACCTTCACGGCCAATCACAGTCATTTCTGTTGAGCACTGGTGAACACTATGGCAAATCAGTGGTTTATGAACGCACTTAGCGGCTCTTATATGTTAGCGGGAAATTGACTTTTTTAAAACTTCAGTATTGGGACAACACTATTACAGACAGTGCTACAGAGGACTGCATTGTTTTATCACTCACCGGGTTACATATAGTAGGCTGAAGCAGGGAAGCCCCCACGGTGTTTACCTGGTGTCATAAACTGGAGCCTAGGAGGACATTTAAGCATTTTATTTTTATAGAGATTATGATTTTTTTATGCCTAATAAGCTTTTAATTGCTTAAATTAAACTGAACTGAAAGATATTAAAGTGACGCTGCTGTGTTTTCAGTGCTGATCCTATACTTTTAGGTTTCTCCCCACTACAGCCTTGCTTTCATTCTTTAAAATGACGGCCTTGTGAAATAAACGTATAGAATACACAAGACATATCACTCGTATAGCTTTGAATTGGGAAAAGTGAAACAGTCAATATGGTGAATAAAGCCCCGCCTTCTAGTACTGAAGCCAATCAGGGAACGTTAGACCAAGGATTCTCCAGAGGAGGGGCTCATACTAGATGTGAATTTCTGCAGATTTTTTGTGACTCAAACGTTTAGAAATGAAAAAAAGAGACAGTTGTTGTTTTATTCTATTGTCGTTTCCTAATATAAAAATTAATCGTAAGCTTTTCAAGCTATTTTGGAGAATTTAATGTTTCCCCATTCAAACAGAATGCTAGAGCATATTGCCCAAGCGGTGTATTAAAGATGGCCACCAAGTGAAAGGACTTGCCTTAAAGACACTTTGGTAATTAGACAAATTGTGTGCTATATATAATTTTGTGAATATTCAATTATGTGTTCTTTACAAAAACTCTATTTTGTGTATTACATACCAAAAAATCCCCTTAAAATTCCTGTACCATTATTTTTCTTGTAGCAATATGTGTATTGTTACACTCCCTACCAAAGTACAATCCACGTACGGAAGTTGGTCCTCTGGAGGGCCACAGCTCTGCACAGTTTAGCTTTTTACCCTAATTAAACTAATTGAGTCCTTCAGGTTGTTTTAAACCTCCAGGTAAATGTATTGAAGCAGGATTAACTAAACTGTGCAGGGCTGCGGAGTTTGACACCTCTGTTCTAAAAGCAAGTTGTTTAAGTGGAACAAATAAATCCCAGAACTATTGTTAATCTTTTTGATGCTTCGTTAACAAGAATGCTATCTCATGAACAATCGTCTGACAGTCCTCACTCTTTTTTTTTTCTAGATGTAACCTTCCTCCTCTGTCTAAAGATTATACTGATGATGTTGGTACCAAAACACACCTGGTGAGCGCGAATCCAAGTATTATAGAAAAGAGGTAGGTGTCTTTTCACTTTTTTGTTGTTGTTGGGAGTTTTTATGATAGATTTACTCATTCTCTTTATTTAAATCACAATACCAACATTTTAGCAGTAGTACCCAAAGTCAGTGGAAACAATGATTAGGGATACATTTGCATGACACAGCATTTTATTACTTTGACTTTAAATGCCTTTTAGTCATTCTCTCACAGATCAGTGTTTTAGGATTCTGAAAATGCAAACTTGGATTTCAGAATGCATGTTTTGGTGCTTTGTTTTTTAATCCTACCCTTTAAATTCCAAAATTTTCAGTTTCATAGGGTTCTTTTACAGCATCGATAATGAAGATTTGTAGATTTAGTTTAACAACAAAACAGAAGAAAAAAGCGTTATTCCGCCAAGCCTTTTTTACTGCGGTGAAGTTTCCATATTCACTTTGGTTCATTTTTGAACAATGACAATCTGTGACGCGGCCCCTTACCAACTAAAGACATGATCTTGCAGGTCTCTTTCATTCGCAATTTCATGAGGCTTGGCTTTGGACTAAGGGGAGGGATTGTATTTAAAAGATACTATGCTAACTGGTTAGCGTTTAGGCAGATCACCTACTGTACTTTTAAGCTACTATTAGAGTAGATAATTCTAGTTTAATAGTTAATAGTTTTTAATTGTGTCATTTGAGTATTTAGACATTCTTTAGACATTCCATTTGAAATCTGTTTATTTATCTTTTCAGTGTGTTAGTGAAACATCAGATTAATCTTATTGACTTATTTTCTTTTTATTTATTACTTTGTCCTCCTGCAATACTCTAGTTTCTTTCTAACTCCTGTACCATGTTTGTATGGATTATTGCTTTCCATTCCAACATTTCTATGTCTCTTTCATATTGGTTTACATCATAATGTATTCTGTTGTATCCTGTGTGAAACAGCTGGAAACGGTTTGTGGTTTCTGTGGTTGTTAGCTGTGTGAATTATGACAGGGTATTTTGATTTAGGTTTAGTCTTAGTCTTTTGATCACATTTTAGTCTTCTTTGTCATTTTAGTTTTTGTCTAGTGTTAGTCGACTAAATTTTATAAGATTTTAGCCAACTAAATCTACTCTAGATTTAGTTGACTAAAATATGATTGATTTATTTAAGTGTAATTTAAATAAAATATTGTATTATTATTATTATTGTTTATTTTATTTGGCCAGGAGATCACATTGAGACTGTTCTGTCTCTTCTTCCAGTAAGACCTAGTCAAGACGGCAGCACAAAAAGATCACAGAAAACAATACCACAAAATAACAAAATCACCATTCGTGAAAAAATATTATAGGTATCCTTTAAGACCTTATACAGAAGATGTTTAAAGGTACTCAGAGTTGGATGTATGTCAAGATTAAGCAGATTTTGTAGATTTAAAGCCTTAGGAGCATAATAGGAAAAAAGCATATTTGCCAAGTTTTGACAATACCCTTGGGACTGTTAACCAAACACAAGAACCAAATCTAGTGAAGCTAGGCCTACTAAATCTAGTAAATACATCTGCATTTATTTATACAAAATATTATAACTTAAAATTAAATAAATCACAGTCATTGAAATAAACATGCCATATAACTTTTTTCATAGAAGACCAGAGCTAAATATGCATTGTTTATTTATATCATAAGTACTATGTCAGATTATATGTCAGCAATCAATCCACATGTAAGAACAGTCAGTTAATGAAATGCAGGATTTTGCAATTATTTTACAAACTCTTTATTTCAACATGGAAAACTCCTAGTCTTTTTAACCAATTTGTTGAACAGTTTCAAGACATTAAATTAAATTTGAAAGGACTTAAAATAGTTTAAGTCTACTTTGCAATGTTAGTCTATAACAGGCTTTAAGGCTGTCATTGGTATTACAGTACATGGTGGTCAGCTGTATAGCACTGATTAAATAAGGAGAGTAATGACATTTGACTGACAAATGATAATGTCTTGTTTTGTAAAATGTGCACTCAGTCCCATGGGTCTGTTTACTTGCAAAGAAGAATTCAAAAGTGACTGTACATAAAAAATAAAAGTGCGCTTCACTTCAAGGGCCTTTTATTTTTCATGGATGTTGAATGCGACTCCCTGATACAAGCACATTATAGCGCTAATAGTAAATAATCACATCGTTAAATGACGTCCTGTAGGTACTTAGGAAGCAGTTTTTGTGTTGTGGTATACTGTAAATGGCTGCTGTCATTGCAGATGCAGTCAGAAAATGTAAACCTAATGCGAGTTAGCTCAGGGATTGATAAACTTCAGCTGCAGCTAAAATGAAACACATTAGAAAACAGCTCCTCATGAAAATCAATACCATGGTCATGATGATTTAAGACATACTGGTTTAAGGAAAGCAACAAAAAATTTTAGCATGTCAATAACTTTTAATGTACAATCTAACAGAGTCAATAAGGTCAGCAAGAGGCTATACTATTTCAGTTAAGCAAAATCACACACTTAGGTAAATAATAAATATTGAGTTTACCTTTGTGAGAATTTCGTGAGGAATTCTTGTCATGATGATGTCACTTTAGATTTGTTTATATTAGCTACCTTTCCTCCCAACTCTGTTTGCACATGGTATTTTTTTGTCTTGACATGAGAATCTTCTGTTCTTTTTATCTCAACTGCTGCCATTTCATTGTAATCGCATCCCGCATCTACTATGAATCAGTTACTTCACGCATCACACACCAATTCCGATTAGATATATATTTTTTAAAAACATCCCTCACTCACATTTTAGTTTTGTTTTTAATACTCAATAAATGTCAGGTTTTTTATTATAGTTATCGTCATCAACATTTGTTTTAGTCTTGTTTACTTAGAAACTTGTTTGTCACAAAAATGATGACATTTTTTTGTGAACCAAATTGTTAGCTTGCAACCGAACCAGAAAAAAAACATGATAGAATAGTCAGAAAAGAACACGGTACCCTCATGGCAGAGTTAATTATGTCTTACTCTTGAGGGATGGATATTGACCTTAAGTGGATTATCCCTTTATCGCCTGCATTAGCTCTCAGGAGATCTGTCACGTGAGATCTCTCAAAAAACTTATTTAATATGCTTGTGCTCTGTAATGCAATGATTTGTTGACTCAGCTCGACTTAATTCTCTAAGTTTTGTCGGTGCAATATCCTAGTGGTAGCGCGTCGACATGGTGCAGTAGCACGTCAGGGTATCCCATGTTTGAATCCCGGCCCGAGGACATTTCCCTACCCTACCTCTCTCTCCAACTTCACTTCCTGTCTAAATACCTTCCTATCTAATAAAGGCAAAAGGGCCAAAAATAAATCAAAAAAAAAAATTCTCTAAGTTTTTCAACCTAAAATGTTTATGTGATCAAGTTAAATGAACCCTAACTAACTATTTTAAATGTAAAAATTGCTACATTGCGGGTGATCCTAACAGTTATCAAGTTAGCAGAACTTTGTTCGTTGAAATATAATAACTTACGTATAAGTAAATTTAGGAAACAGAACAGACAATGAAATACATTAAACATTTTATTTAAAGATTTTACCTTTAATTTAGCAATTACACACAATTTAATTACAATATAATTGTCTTTACAAAGAAATCTTTTACAAAGACATTTTCCTTGCACAACAATTGTCCTTACAAACTAATTAAAGTCAAATTAATCTTAGGTGGGAAAAAAATACAGCAAAACTCTAAAATACACATCTAACACAAGTGTTTATACTTAATTAGCAAGAAAAAATGTGGGATCAAACAAGTTACTGTTGACTAACCATTGCTTTGCTCTTTTTATCAGCTTTCAGAACCTACTTTGGTCCCGCAAATCTTTCGTAGAGAGCATGAAGGCCTATGGTTCCAGCTACATCTACATACCAGCGTTCTCTATGAAGCCTGGCACTGACCCGTCATTACGAGCATACCACGCACTCGCAGACTCCTCCTCCAATCAGACTGTCCTCTTTGCTAACCCAGATTTCCTTAAAAATGTTGGCATATTCTGGAAAAACCATGGCGTTCATGGCAAGCGATTATCCACAGGGTTATTCTTAGTGAGCCTAGCCCTTGGCTTATGTGAAGAGGTGACAGCTTATGGTTTTTGGCCATTTTCAGTGGGCCTAGATGAGCGACCTGTCAGCCACCACTACTATGACAACATTCTACCATCCTCAAGATTTCATGCCATGCCTGAGGAGTTTCTTCAACTCTGGCATTTGCATAAAAGCGGTACATTGCGGATGCGGGTTGGCAGTTGTGCAAAAGAGCGGATGGAGTTAAAGAGGGAAAAATAAATAGGGTAACCCCAACAACAAAAATAGCCATCCTGCAACAGGCATGAGAATACTTTAGGTTGTGAGGTGATACTCAACCCCCAAGGTTTTGGTGTCTAGTTCTTTTGGTGTCTATATGCTTGAACCACAACTGCTACCAACACACCCTTTCTTCTGTTTGCCAAGGGACTGTTGTAAAGACTTGCATGTGTTCCCAACCTCATGTATGCACTCAGTGGAAGCTTGTTCTGTCCTTTTATTGAAGATGTGGGGGCTCAGGTGTCATGTGACAAATTTAAACGTCAGTTGATTGAAGGAGGGGCTGCTTTAAATCATGTCTTAATAACTTTAAATGGGAAACCAAAGCAATTTAGCTTTGGTCATTTTGAATATTTTTTGTGTTTTTAGTTTGTTTAATCCTGAGATGGGCATTGAATGTAAACATTACAAGAAGGAAATAAAGGCCTGTTTTATGAGTTTGATGCTGGTTTAAAGTGAAGGCTGTGGTTCATGTATTATTGTTTGCTTTTTTACTTTTAACATTCGATGAATTGGAGTGTCTACTAAAAATGCCTTGTGGGTCTGGATCTGTCATGAAACATGTCCCAGATATGACTATATCGTGCTAGGAGTGGGACAGGCATACACTGAGAAAGTGTATTTAATTTTGAGGCATACATTTCATAGAGAAGAGTGAAGTTTGTGTGCCAATGGAAAATGTGTTATATCTTCTGGAAGACTCCATTTTAATTCGTATTTGTGTTATTGGTATGTGTTTGAAAATGAGTGGTTTGTGGGAAGGAGCCCTTCTGATGTTTTTGAAGAGGCACCAATCGTAGAGTAAACATTTTTTGCCTGGTTAAGGTGCTGGACACCTTGTCCTTGACATGTAAATAATCAATCATCAAATTTGTTACTGTTTCCACAAGAATCATGGTTTCTCTGAATGTAATGGCAGCCGTTTTGATAGGCTGCCAAGTAACTTGTTTTTTTGACTTGTTATGTGTTTATTTATTATTATTTTTTAATTCAACTGCACACAGGGAACTTGGTTGAAATCGTGTAGGTGCTAGCTGTACACATGCACTGTAGTTTAGATGTAATAAACCATTACTGACTAAGTTTTAATAGGTACAGTTGGTAGGAAAGGTGCACTATAATGATGATTAACGTCAGTACTTAAAGGGATAGTTCACCCAAAAATTAATATGAAGTTTATTGACATTTTTTTAGCTAGTATGTTTTGAGTAAAACTAATTGTATAAGCTGTTTTGTGCATTAAAGTAAACATTGGCAAGACCTACTGTTGATGGTTGATAGAAAACTTAACCAGGTCACATTTCACCTCAGTTACATTGTTATAATTGCACAACTTACAAGAAATATTGCTGCATAAATGTTAAATGCTTTTTTTTGTTTTGTTCTGTTATTTTTCTTTTTACATTTTGGGGTGAACTATGACCCAGGTGATCTTAACTGTAATTGTGTGGACTCATTTGATTATCTTCAGAAAATACTATTACCATATTTTCACACTTTAAGCCAATGAGTGCCTTTATCAGTATTAAAAAAGGCTATGGACAACTTTATCATGAACCAGTTTTTTATCCCCAAAACGCCAACGTAACCTCACAGAATTAAGTATTTTCAAACCAACACTGATGTGCAACCCTACAGAAAGACTTTAATTTATTTTGATTTACGATGTGAAATTAAAATCCTTGATGGAGTTTCAAAAAAGCATGCGGTTGTAGAAGGACCAATGTACATTACTGTCATTTTTTTAACATTGCTTAATTGCCAGAAGACCACATCTTTAGCGTAGATTAAAGATCTGATCTTTCTTTTTTTGCACTTTTTTTGTGCTGTTCAGTATTGTGGATGAGTGAGGTTGTAATTTGTGTAAGTAGGCATGCACGACTGTGATATATAATTGTTTTTTAAACAGATTTTTGAGCAAAAACTCATTAACTATTATGTATTTTATGTTTTGCCCTTTGAGCCATATGAGGGTGTGTGCCCTACTGAAACTGAGCTTACCTCAATTGTACTAGTCACTGTTAAAATCATTGACAAAGCTCACAGGAGCTTGGATTTTAGGTATTTAAGTATGTTTTAGTCCACTCTGCTGCAATTGTGTCCTATCATGTCAATCTTCTAGGCTCAAGCAGTTGGTTGATGGTGTTTGTACTTGAGCATGTCAAAATCCTCTAACAGGAACGAGTTTGAGCATTTTTTACATGCCACATGGGTTATGTCAATAAGTTGAAAGAAAAAATTGTCAGAAATAAACAAAACACTGCTTTTAAACAATAAAGACATTCTGTCGAGTCTTTTTTTGCAACGTGTGAATTGTATTTGAATTAAAGGAGTAGTTTAATTCTGGAGCTGCATGGTGGCACAGTGGGTAGCACGTTCGCCTTACAGCAAGAAGGTCTCTGGTTCGAGCTTCGGCTAGGTCATAGTATTTGAAATATGCTTATTCTAGTAAACTTTACTTCACTACATTTCCTAATGTATTTTTCACAGATTTTAACCTGTGATAGTGGTGTTTAATTCATAAAAAAGCTGAATTAATTTTTTTTTTGTATTAACATGTATTAACAATTTTTATAACATTTTAACTGCAGCTTAACATGGATGAAGTTTTAGTAAATTGAAAGTGCTTTATTCCTGGTTTCACAAATATTGGACAGCTTAGTCCAGTTCAGTTTAATGTAAATGTCACTGCTGAAAGCCAAAACACTGAAAAGCAAATCCAACGATGCACCACAAGGAAAAAACCTATATAAACATATATGTTTAATATAGGTTTTGATAAAGGTTTAATATAGGTTTGATTTAGGTTCGTATATGTTTATACAAGTCCCAAACCATGTAAGCCAGTGGTGAGGAACAAACTTTACCAACTGACAAAAGTGAAGGGAAAAAAACCTTGAAAAAAACAGACTCAGCTGAGCATGACTAGTTCTCCTCCGGTCAAAGTTCTTGTGTACAGCTGCTGTCTAGGTGCCATAGGCTTGAGAATGATAGGCTTGCACCATATGCCACGGAATCCTGTTGTAGGCACAGAAAGTTTAGCTTGCAATGAGTCAAGTGAGGCCAGGACTGGGACTGTATTTTTGCCTGGGAAAGTTACTGAACTTCAGGCCACCTGAGCGATTGGCAAGTAAAGAACCAGGAGAGGGGGTGGACTTGGGGGTTGCAGAGATCAGTAAGTGAAGAGCGGGGTTATTCTTTCAAAAAAAAAAAAAAAAAAAGGAAATTGCGGTGTGACTAGAGCTTTACTTATCTATTTATGTTTCAGTTCTTAGAACCGCATCCTGTCGTGCAATTCATGTGAGCTCTGTGCAAAAAGGTGCACATACACATTTACTTATCTTGTATTCAAAAACAGCTGCACTGGCAAAATTTTATGAGACTTCTCAAGTAAAATTCCCTGCATTTAAGACAAGTAGCTCTACTCAAATTACATTTTTGACATCTGGAAAAGAATATTTAATAATATTAATATTTAATATTTTCAAAGTACACATTTTAGCAGGCCAAAGAATGTAGGCACTGCATTGTGGCATCACAATCTAAAGAAAGGTCTACATTTTTTTTATCAATTTTCAAATTGCACTTTTTCATTGGCAAATTACTGTAAGAAGTAAATCTGAGTTTTATCTGAGGCTACATTTACATTACAATATAGCTAAAATCCGAAATGTTTTTCCCTTATGTTTTAAAAAATGTTTCATTTTTTATTACAATGTTTTTTTTTTATAAAAAAAAAAAAACTGTTTACAAAAATTTATTTTCAACCTAAAACACTATTACATATGCCAGGCGAGTATTTGGCACAGTAAACAAGGAAGTAATGTGACTGTACAGTAGACTTTGCCGTGTGTGTAAGATGCATCTCCACTGTTGTTTGTAAAGTGAAAAAAAATTAACATTTTAGCGTTATCAAACACTGCAACAGCAACGCTACTATGTAGTCTGCCCTTGTGTATTTGTTCATGTTTGCCTTTTACACCTTCCTCAATACATACCATGTATGCACACAATGTCATATTTTTTAAAAGAGTAATGTTTTTGGGGTGTTTACACATACATGACAAGGGTGGTTTTTTCAAAAGGTTCCACTTTGTAAACCATTTTCATATTTATGCATTGTCTGTCCCAAAAATGTTGGGTTAACGAACCGGCTAAATGCCTAATAGGATAACATTTTGGACTGAAAATGTATAAACAGCGCCTTTTAGCATTTATTATTTCAGGTTAGACTCCTGCTTCATTATAGAAAAGATTATGAATCAGGCTTAGTTCCAAAACAGAGCCTGTCTATAACTTATACCGAGACCCTCAACGTGAAAACAAATACTGATCAGTTACTGAATGTAAGAGAATTTAAGCCTTAAGCGGTGGTCATAGTAGTCAACTGTCTGCAATATTTTGTGAAAATTTCATTCTCTTTAGCCAATAAGTAGAAAATTATTAGGTACAGGTCAAATAGAAGTCACTTTCAAACTAAGCAACTTTTATTGCATTCATAGTCCATAAATCCACCTCCATATTACAATCATGACTGCCATCTTAAGTGTGTTCATGTCTCCTGCACTACTATCTCACTTCTAAGCTCCCTCTGGAGGGTTAACCTTTTGAGGGGATTGTGAGCCCTACAGAATGAAAATTTTGCTAAATCTGACACAGAAACGTGTAGATTCCTGTTAAAATGCAAAAGTGAACTGCAATAGTGACTGCCCCCCTATTAAAGTCTTTGCAACTGTTATAGTCTTTGCAAACACTTATTTGGTTCTAATTTGTGCAACAAAAAAGAATAATTGAAACTTGTGCGCTGGAGTTACCTAAATGTTTGGTCTTGATTCCAGTCCAAATATCTAAAAATTCTTAGATATTTGGACTCAGAATGAACATAGAATTCAGAATCATTTACTGGGCAAGCAAAACATAGTGTCTTGTTTTCAGAAATAATATGTAAAAATTAAGGGATTTTTATTTGAAACAAGCAAAATAATCCACCAATGGGGTAAGCAAAATAATATTGTTTTTCATCTTGGGTGACATAATATTATTTTTCCTCACCCCATTTGGCAGATTATTTTGCTTGTTTTAAGGAAAATACTCATTTCATTTCAGCATATAATTTCTTAAAACAAGACAATATGTTTTGCTTGTCTAGAGAATTTTTCTAGATTTAGGAATTTTTAGATATTTGAACTAGAAGCAACACAAAACATATAAGTAAGAAAAGCATTTTTTTGCAGTGTGGGATGGGTCAGTTCAAAATGCCCAGTCCTTTGAGGACTAGAGGTGATGACAGACTTTGTGCTACTCACCCTGTTAGTAGTGGTCTGATTCAATTTCAGGCAATGGTGTCTCAGCCAATCAACTTGTAAGTTATATTATGTGACGTTGGGTATGTCTTAATCAGTACCCTAGCTCTCGAGGTCGTGAATCAGTCAGTCGTAGATCATGAAAACTAATTTTTATTATTATTATTTTTTAAATATCATACTTTTCATTAAGTTTGTTTGATTTGGTTCATGTAACTCCTAATTTGAACATCCGTTAAGTGAACATTTCAGTACATTGGTAGAATTTTGCAATTGAGACAGACCTTCAAATTGCTGACTCCCTGATTAGTGGAGTAACTAGTGAACAAGGGAGCTGACTAAGGCAAAGCCTCTTGATCTAGAAGCTTTCTGTACCGAACAGAGTAATTTTTCTGCTTTAGAAGTTGTCTCTGTTTGCTCTTTCTTTTATCCCACATGGAGATTTTTTATTGTGAGCTTTATTAGTCATGCAGAAAATTTTCCTATGTTCTGCATTTTGAGTCACGATTATAATATGTGTGCCTTTCATTCTGACAAGATGACCTCCCAAATCATGCCTCGTCAATACTTTTATCTTTTTTTAGTCATAAATTAATTTCAGCCACCAAAATGATTAATTACCTAAATGACCGCTGTTTCCTATTATATCAACAAACCTATACCGAACTGGATTATGTTAGCTATGTGCTCTGCACATCCTGTCTCATGATTGCAAACAGTCACAACTCATAATAATGCAGTTGTGTCAGCAGTTACTCCCTACTACTACAACCTCCAAACTGTACTGTAAACCAACTCCTATGTCTTTCTGAGTTATTTTAAAAGGCACGTGAACATGGTATGTTTGCAGTACACAGAGGTGATTCTAACTCCTAACAATCCAAACATCCTTTTTGGCCAGTCTATTGAAAATTGCCCTTTGGGATTTCTCCTAATGAGCTCTCTCAAGTAATAATGGAGCTACTTTGGCTGATAAAGGCAGAAACATTATACTGTCTTTAATCTGCATATGCATTTCTATTACAGCTGATGTCCTGAGCGTTTAAATTACAATGGCTGTAATGGCAGAGGCTATTTGTTTAACAAAAACATGGAGATTAACAAATAACTGTTTACACTCACTGATCTTGAATTTGTGAAATTGAAAGAAAAGTACATCACAAAAGACAATGTAGTACTCTGATAGTAAAGATACCATGTCTGTTTTTAAATGTGAGAAGCGAATGGTCCATTTATATTTTGTAAAATAATCTCAAAAAGATATTTTCACATGACACTTTTTGTAAAGTATATCATAGTAAGTATGCAGGTGTTTTTTATTTTTTATATCTGCTGATACTGCTCCTTTAACAGACATTTAACTGACAATAAGAAACTTTGCAAGTATATGTCAACTTACACTAACACTAACCCCAACCTAACAGTCTACTTATAATCTATTGAGAATTAGTTAGCAATGTAGATGCAATGCAACTTAAATTCAACAAAATGTGTTAAAGGGACTTCCAGTTGCGAGCATGAATGGAGTAGTCGTGCCTGTCTCGAGGTCCCTGTGGACTTATTTTTTTCATTCAATCCTTCAATCCTCCACCACTTTATTTATTTGTTTATTACTTAGTGCTTGACAGTGAACATGTTTACGGCTTAAAAAGACTAAAATTGACATTAAAGTCCAGCAAATATGGGAAAAAAGACCCTCCTAAAGACGATGGAACCGCAGCACACGCAGAGTTTAACATGGCGGCCTTAACTAGCCTTTTGGAAGAACATAGGCCCTGTCTATTGAGTTTAAAGCCGCCTTGATGTCTTTGGAAATGAAACTGGACTCAGTTTAGACAGCAGTACTCGATCAAGGTACGCAAATTACTTCGCTAGAATTGAATGCTGACCTTATCAGTGAGCGAATTCTCTCACTAGAAGTGGCCTGTTCTGAGCTAACAAGTGGCCTGTTCTGAGCTATGCTAAGCTAAAAGCT